TCCGCCATTGGTAGAAACGAAAATCTTCCAATTGGGAATTCGAGGCCTCAAATACGTAAGTTGGAAATGGGGAGACGAAGGGTCTGACGCTGCATATAAGAAGAGAAGAGCTCTGCAGAGGGTTTCAACCTTAGTTTTAGGGTTTTAGGAACTACAAGATGAATGAACGGACACTTTAAATACGAAATGATAATTTATTTAACTTTTAATTTCTAAATCAAACCCAGCATAAGTGGAAGTGTTTTTTTCACTATTCTTCTCTTTTTTCTAATACTTTTCGAATTAGTTGCATGTTCTTAATTGTGTAATGTAGTTAAAAGAGTTCTTCTAAATTTGAGAGGATACTTTAAAAAATATATTTTTATAGTATTTATAATAAACCTCTGAACTCTAAACATAAATTATACGTTTTTATATTGTTGAGCTACATGTTGTCATATTAATATTTGTTATCTAAAACGGTAAAGAAATGGCAATTTTAAAATACACTTACTATAATATTCGTAAATTAAACTTAAGTTAAAATGTTAAATCAGATGTTTGGTCTTTGGAACTATACAAATTATATCTATTAAATTCTTATATTTTAGAAAATGTTCTAATAAGTTTTGTTGGACAACATAAAACGATCTTTCATGCGGGAGGAGGGGTCGATGGGATCCAAAGTATAACACTCATGTATCAAAGTCGATGAATCATACCTCATTTGGGTTCCGGTCGTAGTAAAGTCGAACCGAGGTGTACGATGAAATCGCTCATTATCCACCACTGTAGATCTCATGTTGGAATTCATGTAGTCTAGTCATGTTAAGTGGCTAACGAATGGGATCGACCTATCCATGATTATAAATATAAAGATAGTCTCCATATTGCAGGTATGCAAATCTGATGGGTCGTCTTCAAACAAATATCTCGAACTCATATTGACTTGAGTGTCAAAGATCTTTTCTTTCTCTGTGTAGACTCTCTTTATAGATTCTCTTTGCACTTCTCTAAGTCGGTTCGTATTCTCCGAGTCGTCAGAATTCAACATGAACACGTCTCTTAACTTTTCAGATCGTGTCTGCCTAATGTGTGAACTTTTAAAATCACTTAACATAAGGTTATTGAACTATTCAATTTTTTTGTCAAATGAATTTTTTAAATTCTCAAGTTGAGTATGTTTAACAAATATATGTCATTGTAAAGTTAACGATCTAGACTTATTAACTACGAGATACAAAATTAAAAGTTCGTGTTGATGCGTGGATTTCGGTCCTCCGGTTCTCCTCCTTGCACCTACCAAACTTGTTGATCCGGGACTAGTATCTGCAAAACCAGATGAGCTAAACCGGTGCGACTCTAGTCACACGGGCTCCGATGCTTAAGTTAGCAGGAGGATAATGTGAAATGTAGCTAGTTTTTAGATGCCCTTACCTCTAAGGCTGGATCGCTACTTATAGTCGCCAGGTTGTTCCAGAACATTCCATAGGTAGCTAACCCTAATTTCGTTGGCGGGCCTGGGCGAAACCGTGGATCGAAGACGAAGGGCCGCTGGAAGGCCGTGGGCCGTGCCACGGGTCGGGACCGAGCCCCGGGTCGGGACCGAGCCCATCGCAGCCCAGTGGCTTCCTTCCGATCTTCACCTGTACCTCAACTTTCGGTTTCCATTGCATAACAGTTGCCCCTGCTCTCAATGTGATGCTTTCGATCTCATTGGGAGTATAGCTTTTGTAGTGATCTATCTTGTCATATGGGTCCGAGTCGAATGAATTGTCGAATCATTGCGGGGCTCATGGCACCCTTGTCGCAGTGAGTGATCTTATCTTCACGAGACACGAGAAAGTGAAAGTATATGTCAATTTTCCTTTTCCTTGCAAGACCCGATGCAGCCTGTCATGCAACTGTCACATCTACAGTAGACCCATGCTTTGAGATCTCGAGGTGTTGGGCGCCGAGCCGAGATGTCACAAGTGTGTTGGGTACCGTGCCAAGTAGTCACAAGGGTGTTGGGCACCGAGCCGAGTAGTCACAAGAGTGTTGGGCCTTGTGCCGAGCACCCTTTGGCCCGCTGGGTAAAGACCTCTGGACCGAGAACTGTGCTATGAGTTGAGGGCTATTCAAACCCCTCCATCCTCATCAATTCTTGCCAACCTCCCAACAAGGTATTCATTTCTCTGCCCTGTTCTTTGTCGTATTTTCTTTTTATATGGCCGGCCTTGATTTCGAGTGGACTTCCTCGGATGATGGGTCATCATCGCATCCTTCGTCAGAGTC